ACGAGTAGCTTGCTGTGAAATCAACAGCACAAGTAAGAAATCACTGCCGGCACAGTCGGCCCTGAAAGCCATCAACAATCCCGTTGATGCACACCAGAATGTGAGATACAATGATATTCTTGATCTGCTCCCCGCGCTGAATTCGTTGGTTCTTCAGTTTTGTTGCGGCCGCGACATAGTAAAACATCATATCACAGCCTTCAATCGCCTTGTAAGCGTTGTTGGTACGCCACTCCTACGACGTACGTGCCAGTGCCTTTCTTATCACTTACAGCAAAGCTTATTTCGTGGGAAGCATGGTTTTGGGCGCCCGACCATGGTCGAGGAGATCCCGGCTTCGGCACTAATTTAGCGAAGCTTCGCAGAGTCGTTGTCGTGGCATGTCTCGTGAGGTAAGCTTCATCTCTGCTCTCTGGCATATCGCTTAGGAGCACCTTCAGAATATTACGAGGTATTGGAAAATCAAGTAACCCAGGCCACTGAAGCTTCATGTTCTCTCTTAAGCTACCGTCAATTCTGTGGCTACGCAGTGAATGTAGAATATGCTTCATAGTGTGGTGTGATTGAGAGTCTTCGGGCGGAAGAACCTGAGCTCTTCGGCGGTACGTCTCCGCTTATTAGGTCGGCACTCGTCAAGCGGGCCGCTATCCGACACTCGCTTCCAAGCCCACAGCTTCGAATATCCTCGCTGCTTTTCGGACCTGTAAAAAAAGGCCGTCTTGCTTGTGAATGCCTTATAGGCTTCGTGATAGATTCATAGGTGAAAGTCGGAGTGCGTGCCGGCGTCACTGTCCATTCTCAGTCTGGAGTCCGCTTTCAAATTTCTAAAACGCGTGGAAGTCTTTGGCGGCTTTCAAAGTATTTGACAGTTGGCAACAGACTGCGCGCTACCTCCTGCTACCTCTTTTTCTATCCAGTATGTGCGTGGTGGCGAGTTCTCCCTCTCAGCTGGCTTTGTGGTGGGACCCGAGCATAAGAACGTCTTCGTCGAATGCCCGGCGGTTCTGTATCGACCACGCCCGAGCTAGTCAAGCTTGGAACGCAGATGCTTTGACTTGGCTTATTCGGCGGGTCAAGGGTAGAATTGGTCCGCAGCCTTGCAAAATTGCTGCGCCGCAAGTACTTATTTCATATCAACTATTTCCTTCGTCACTCCATCACTCTTCCACTCTTCTCTCCACAGCATGGTCATTCTTTCAGTACGGCGGTCCTTCAGCATACTTGCCTGCATAACCATCTTCATTTTGCTGTCTGGGACAGGTTACAACTTTCATGATCGGTCAACTCGAGGAATACCCATAACATATGAGTATACGACTCAGCGTATCAAAGAGTACAGGCGCATGTTGACGAAAGACGGGACCCGGTTACTACCAAGTGCTGCATGGAGCCCGCTCAGCCTAAGCGAGTGTATCTTTGGCATGCCCGCCTACTACGCGCCCTGTGTAGCACAAAAACTATCGAAAAAGGTGTTATACGCGGAGGAACTGTTATACCCGGCATTTGAGATCCGACAGCCCCATTTTGCGGTCGAGGAGCACAAGGATCGCTGGCGAAGCGCCGCTTTGAGAGCGAAAGAGCGCGGAACGCTGCAAGACAGTGGGTGGCTCGTGTATAAAGGTCAGTCGGGCCAGAATTTCGTGAGTGCTCTCCGATAATTCATAACTGGCGCGTAAAGATCAATTGTAGGTGTTTGGAAATGTCTCTTACACGCATCCAAACCGATATGATAGCTGGTCCCCAGAGGCTTGTATGGGAAGCCTCGTATCGTCAGAAGACATCCGGTTGTTCGATCCAGTGCAAGTCCTCGCTGTCCCGGGTCATCCTGCGATCCGGAAAAGCGCCATAGTTGTACTTTCCCCAGACTCCAACTCTTTTCAGCACCACCTTGACCGTGTCACGCATATCTTAATGCAAGGCTCGTATCTCACCTTTGGAGAACACCCGCACGTAATTACAGGCAATCGCGGAACTGCCTTTGTAGATCAGCTATGGGAACGCCTAGGATACGGTCCGGAACGTGTGCTGCATAGTCAGAGAGAGGATACATATGCCGAAAGGTTGATTTTTTCATGTCGTGCGGTACTGGTGCATCCTTGGCTGTCGCTGAAGACACTCGAGGCATTCTCGATTGATTACATGAAGGAGTTTTCAACACGAAATAAAGTATGTGGCTTTGATCCTATGTGTTTTCTATACCATAACAGCTTACCTAGATCGTGTATATGTCGCGATCCAATGGACGTGCTAAAAACGGTGGTCGTAAGGTTCTTAATGAGTCGGACCTTCTCAATGCAATCAGGACATTACTTGAAGAGAGGGCCAAGGGCGAAGAACTTGTAGTATTTAACGAGAAAGACTTCGCAACCGCCTCTGACCTTTTCGAATGGTTCAACAGCAACGTTATGGCAGTCGTTGGTCCCCATGGAGGTGCGATGTACCACCATCGTTGGGCTGCCAGAGGGACACTCGTAATCGAGTTCATGCCCACCAGCTTCACGTCGATGGCTATATTCGAGGAAGCCTCCGTGCTTTCTCAGACATATGCAACCGTGATTGTTGAGCCAAGTGGATCGGGTGGGAAGGATATGATCATCGATCCCGAGCATGTCCTTTCGCTTCTGCGACGACATCTGGGAATTCCTATGCGGAGACCTCGTCATGCGGAGCACATGGGATTTTTGTCTGACGAAGTACATGACGCTGTAGATGATGTTGAGGACGAGGGTTCCTTGGCAGAGGACCCGTTGAAAGTCAGCTACCAATGGGGTGGTAAGGAGCTTGGCTTGTAATTTAACGCTGTATCGCTTATAAGTAAATTAATTTTTGTAATGCTAGTACTTTCATCTCACTAATAATGCAAACACACGCATAAAAGCGGTCGCTATAAGGGGATGAGTATTACTCTCTTTGCTGAGCCTGGGACCCAAACGTAGTAACGTTCGAACACGAGGCTCCGTGGACGGAGATCACGCGAGCTGCTTAAATAGTTTTACCCATGCCAAGTACACGAGATAAGGACAACCATGTCGTTCCCCCTGCTCGAGCTACCCAACGAGCTTCTATACAAGATCTTTGGAGAACACTTTGATGAGGACCAAGTCCCAGAGTTGTTCACAATTTCTCTCACGTGCAAACGCCTGCACGACATTTGTCTTACACATTATCTTTCTCGCTTTGGTATCAGCCATCCTACAGAGACCTGCAGCTTTACCCTTCGAAATGTCGCTGAGCCCCGTCCAGATGCGATATCTGGTCTCCGGGTTGCTCTGTTTGTCCCGTCAATCAGGCATCTGGTATGCACATTCGACGACGCGCTTCCGGAAAGCGAAGCGCCTTCCCCTGCTACTATCATTGCAACCGTCCAACGACTGCAGAGTCTTCTTTTGAAGCTCAAATCCGTCAACAGGATAACGTTGCGGTTTCGCGGCAGAGACTGGAATAATGGTAGCGTCAACGTTACAGATGCATTGTTGGCTTCATGGTCATCTGCCATTGGCGATCTCCTCAATCTGGCACTGGATAAATCATGCACATATCTGTGCATGGTAGACGGTAAAGTAATGACTTATGCCTATCAATTTTCTCGTGCGGGGCGAGGTTACCCATCGAACGTCTTGACCACCAGTAGGCGCACAGCGATCCGAGGGCCAGATTGGACATTTCGGCGCGTCAAGATGGGTACGTCAACTATCCTCGTCGACGAAGCCACCATTCCCAATGAATTACACTCTTTGGACATTCAATCGTCGATGCTCCTACTTCCTCCACTCTCCCACTGGACGTTATCCGTTCTGACTGTCATTACCTCTTTGACCATATCCCATATCAGTCTTGCTGGACATATGTGGACTGCGCTGCTCCCCACAGTCGCTCAATACGCGTCGGGTATCGAAGAGCTGTGTATCGCTGGGTGTCTAGATATCACCATCGATGATCTCGTCGCGTTTCTCGCACTGTTACCCGGGTTGAAGAAACTCACACTATCTGACGAGGAGCAGTACATACCTGGACCATCTGCGCCTGTCCCGAAATTCACAGAGCTGGAGCGTGTCGTGGCACCGTGGAGGATTCTTTTACACATCGTGCAAGGGCCTCTGCCGAGTTTGAAGGAGGTACGGACGTTCCCCAGACGCACTCCAAGAAGAGGGCTGGATTGGGAGGGGACAGGCGCAGTGTTGAGGGTGATGAGAGAGTGTTTCAGAGAGCAGGAAATCAGGCCTGTGGTGATCATACGGATCCGAATCGATAAAGGATGGTTATCAAGAGTCGAAACTAGACCGTCGACTGGCGTACGGATGACGCTGAGACTTGTGAAGGTGGTGGAAGTGGAGCTGGTGGAAGTAAAGGTTGGTGTTGGAATCTTGGCGGCCTGGCTTGGGGGTGCTTTTGACGCTGTTAGGGAAATACGAATATTGGGAAAGGTACAGTCATGTTGCGGAAATGTAGAGGACATCGAGGAAGCGGTGAAGAAAGAGGTTAAGCTGGTTGGGAGGATAGTCGTGGAAGAACGAGCAGATTATTAGTACTTAGTGTACCCAATGACCACAGTTCTCACAACAATAGTTGGTTATTGAGCCGGGGATATCTTGATATTTCTTTGGCGCTCGTTATTTAAGTAACTGCCACTGGCACAGCTTATTACGCCACATAGAATGGTTGACTGAACGACGCTTTATGTAAACCAATTATTCCTAGACGGATGCCTCACGGATAATCTTTCCCAAATACCTGCGAAGGCAAAACCTCAAGATTAATTAATTTTAGTCGAATGCCCGCATATCAAGTGGTGGTAAGTACACCAAAGACTCTGGACTCACATGTTTCGAAGCTCAAGATCGACATACGATATCCTCTGGGTAGGGGTGAGGACGTCGTCGTCGTCGTCGTCAAGAGGACTGTAAGTTCCAACTTCCAACCAAGTTAGCAGGATTTCCGATTGTAATTTCTAAATTGTAATTGACTAATATGAAAAATAAGTGCCAAGTTGAGAATCCAAATGGCCAACGTGGGGATCGAACCCAAGACCTTCGCGTTATATACATTGATATTAGCACGACGCTCTAACCAACTGAGCTAGTCGGCCGATGAGAGCTTTCCTTTTAAGGAATTAATATCAACAGCAATAACGCACTGACGACTCGGAGCTCATTACCAATGACCGATCGCTTTGTCTAACCACAACGCCTCTGACACGGGCCAATTGGGCGTCCTACAATGGCGCGTGGTAATCGAGCCTCAGAATCTGTGGCACCAATGCAACCGCCACCACTGGTCCTGCCTGTTGCAGAGTTCGAAAAAGTTGAAGAGTCTTCAAAGGTCAATAATGGCGTTCACGACAACCAAATGAAGGCTTATGGATGTACGCCAAATCCACGCGTCTTTTCCTATTGACCATTGCTGAAAATTCTAGTTTTCAGTCAACGATCTGTCAAACTATCAAAGACCTGACCACTACGTTCGTCATATTGGTTCGTTTTCGCCGGCAAACACTACTCTATGCTGAACATCGCCCCAAGAACCGTTGGAGTTGGACCTCGCCACACAGGTCGAGTATGATATGGACGAACAAGGTATATAGTGTCCGTATTGGTGATACATATACTTATTGACCTGATAGACGAGGAATGGCTGATTGCCGTGAACGCGGATAGGAAAAAGATGCAGGTCGACACTGTCTCTTACGAGACGTTTGAGATTATCATGGACAGATTGGAGAAGGAGTGGTACAATCTGGTACGCGTTGCAATACCGTTCGTTGCTGTGGATATTGACCTTGATAATTCAGACCAAAAACATTCCTAAACCTCATTTCGATATGCCCTCAGAAGATTCTACCTGCGCGATATGCGACGATGCAGAGGGAGAGAATAGCAACGCCATCGTGTTTTGCGATGGATGCAATTTGGCTGTTCATCAGGGTACGCCAGTGCCTAGTCTGTTACTTGAATACCTCCTGAAATTGCTACATGTCTAGAATGCTATGGTGTACCATACATTCCCGAAGGCATTTGGTTATGTCGCAAGTGTAGCACCTCCCCAGAAACGCCTGTCGTCAGTTTCATACATAACTCTCTCAGCACTTCTTCCTGACATATGCTCCCAGGAATGCTTTCTATGTCCTAATGAGGGTGGCGCGTTCAAGATGACCGACCACGGGCAATGGGTCCACCTTCTATGTGCCATGTGGATTCCAGAGATGACTGTCCAAAACGAGGTCTACATGGATCCAACGATCGCGTTCGAGGACAAGCTCATGGAAAGGATGAAGAGATTGGTACTATCGACATAACCCCTCCTCTGATTTCATGAGTGCTAACACAGTTCATCACAGAAATGTAGCGTATGCAAAATTCGAACCGGAGCATGCATACAATGTGCTATCAAAAGTTGTTACACGCCTTTCCATGTGACTTGCGGCCGGAAAGAGAAATTTTTGCTTCCCATGAAAAATCTTCAAGGCTCCGAACCTGTGGGGACCCTCAAATGCTTCTGTGATAAACACCTTATCGTACGTGATCTGTAGTGGTCTTCACTTTAACCACTCAACTCCGTACTCAGCCGGCGCAAAAAGCCGCTCGAGAGGCAGCAAAAACTGAAGACGAGCAAAGTGTCGAGAAGATCTCCAACACTGCTCGTGCCCATGCCAAGGCTTTTCAGACAGGAGCACCTCTCGTACCGTGGATCATCGTAGACAGGATTGCTCAATACATCGGGAGGATTAACGTGCGCAAGAAGGTCGAATTCATCATTCTCGTGTGCAAATATTGGAGTCTTAAGAGGGAAGCGAGGAGAGGTGCGCCCCTTTTGAAGCGACTACATTTGGAGGCTTGGCCTTCTAGCACAAGAAATCAGTCCCAGACTACCGCCGAAAAAATCCAGAAGAAGACCGTAAAGCTTAACATTACTCTTTATTTTTCATATCTGAACTTATTGATAGATGCTTAAACGTCTACGCAAAGATCTTGACTATGTCAAGCGGCTATCAGTCAAGAGCTACAAGCGAGAGATGCGTAAACTTGATCAGTTACATCTCATTCAAGATGTTTTGTCCAAATTCATATTCCCTAATGAGCCACGACTACGCTCAGCTTTTGAGCGTATCACAGGGTAAGTCGTTCTTATGGGAAAGAGTTCGTGATCTCAAAAAATCGCACACAGCGTCGATAAGAATGGGTATTTTCAGAACCCTGTATCGAAGCTCAAGGTCCCCGATTATTTCGACATCATCAAGCGTCCTATGTGCTGGAATATAATTGAAGGAAAATTAGATCGGCATGAATATTGGGACTTCCAAGCCTTCAAAGTGCTGCCTCTATCAGATTCTTTGAGTTTCACTGACGTTTGAATCTAGGATGATATTCATCTCGTCTGTAACAATGCCATAGCTTATAACAAGGCCGGATCGTCTTATTCCAACACGGCCAAACGGATTCTTAACGCTGCGGAGCCAATCTTCACGGAGCTTCAGGAACAGTGTCTACCACAGTCATCCGAATACACTCCAGCAGAGGGTGCCATGGAGGTCGACGTTCCACCGCCACAGTCGATGCCCTCTGCACCCGCCCCGGCAGAAAATGAGATGCACGTCGACAATCTCGAAATGGAATCTAGACAGAGTCACGATCCCACAGCGGACATGAATGTTATGGAGGTGGACGTTATACACACAAAACTCGAGGTTGGGGATCTTGAAACACCCCTCCCCATGCTGGAACTCCTCCTATCTAAAGAGGCCATGCAGGACGATGTGAAGTACATCATCAACGAGGATCCCCTTTCTTCCCTCTTCAATTACGAGCTTGGGCAGATAAAACCTCCACCCGAAGAAATGATGCCTGCTACCATGAAAAGGAAGCGTGATCGCAAGGCAGAGAACGCTCGGAGGGAGGCCAGGCGTGCCGAACAAGCAGCTGCCAACGCCGGATCTCGCGCACCGAAGAGAATTCGCCGTGCTACATCGAATACAACGGACAACGAGCTGGATGAGCAAGGCCAAGGTCAGGAGGGTTCAGATGACCTGCCAAAAGCGACCTCATCTACGTCGGTTCTGCAATACTTGCCAAGCGGGCAAATGAGCACGCCTCTTTTGGTCGATTCTGTTGGACACAGAGACTCATTCCTGATGTTCGAGGCTGGATGGATCTTGCCTGAAGGCCAGAAGCGTGGCGGAAGATCATCGACGCTAACTGCAACACAACCAACACCAGTGCCACCGAAGAAGTGTATGTTTTGTATCTCATGTGTATCACAGACCTTTGGCTGATTGTATGTCACTTCTCAGCTCAGCCAAGGAGGAAGAGTGCGTGTCATTTTGACTAGCTCACCCGCCTAAATTCGCTTACCATGTTTTTATTCTCTCTAGGCCGCGCAAAATCCTCGTTGGGTGTTTTCAGTACGGGCGAATCCGAGAACCTGACACTGAGCGTGGAGAGCAATATCCTTCCTCAAGATCTACCGGCCACTCCTACAGAACATGTTGAAGAGGAAGTACTGGCAGAAAACCTATCGGATGACGATGTGAAGGAAAGGCCTGCAGATCAGGCAGGCTCTCCACAAGACGAGCCGGACTTGATGTTTGATGAAGAACATGAGGAAGAGCTACCACAAGGACCTCTTGACGTTACGACAGAACCGCCACTCACACCGATGGTACTATCGCCACATCGTGATCCTTCACAGACGCCTCCCTCGCCAATAAGACCAAGAGACTTCTCCCCGTTGCCAGAAGATGTACAGAGCCCCATGGTTATCGATTTACCTGTCTCAGCAGTGAGGGATGAACCTATGGTAGTGGACACCCGACCTACTGCCACGCCGGATCGTACGATTGGCATCAAATTAGAGCAGGTTGCCTACGTTCTAACAGATCGTCAAACAAGCACCTCTGAAACGGAAATCGGGAATGACGTCGAACGTGATATCGGTATCAATTCTCGACCTGACGCAGAGATCAATGCCGAACTTCATGCCGACCCTGGGGGTCATGAAGCAGAAGTTGATACCCAGGTTCATCCCGAGGTCGACGAGGCTCATGAAACTGAAATCGACGAGGTTCATGAACCTCAGATCGACGATGTCCCTGAACCTGAGATCCGCGGGGTTCCCGAACCAGAAATTAACGAGGTCCCTGAACTTGAAATTCGCAGAGTTGGTGATCTTGAAGTCGACGAAGTCTATACGCAGCTTCCACATGTGGACGCACATGCTCCTGAAGTCGATTCGGAGCCTCAGGAGGTCGTTACGCAGGTTCATGTTGTCACCCAGGCCCTTCCAGACGAGGAGGAGATTCATTCCAAACTTATACAAGATCATGTCGATGATGACGGCGAAATTCGTGCGGAGGTCGACGCTCATGATATATCGGATGTTGCTTTGGGTGACCAAGCCAACATACATGGCCCCATAGAACCAGAAGCCTACATGGAGGTGCAACCTTCATCTTATGATATATCGGCTGCTGTTTTGGGTGACCAGGTCGACATTAATATCAGCGTAGAACCAGAAGCAGACATGGAGGTGCAAACGTCACCAGAGGCAGACATCACAGTCCAAATCGAGGCTTCTGCTCCCCAAACCGCTCCATCTACCCAGCTAGGTGACCATGATACGTCGATGGCTAACGTTGACGCCTCGACTGACGATATTCACCCGCCTGAGGCTGTGCTGGAGTTGCAGTCCGAAGCTGTCAATGCTGTGCTAGAATCTACATCAACAGACGATGATATCATGCCTCGTCAGGAAGAAGCGGTTCAGGAGCGCGTTTCACCGACTGGAGATCGAGCAGACGTTGAGATGGAAGAAGTCGCTCCAGCAGAGGCTCCCGCTCCAGATGAAGTGGACGCGTCCGACAAGATTGAGACTCAGGCGTATGGCGATACTAGGACAGAGGGGGATATTCAGGCAGAGGCAACTATTGTACCCGAGGATGTTCCTATCATCGAAGCAACGAACGATGTTAAGCCGGAGGATACAGCAAAGGATGGCGACGAGACTTCGGAGGACGAGCAAGAGTTGATTCGGAAACGAATCGAAGAGGCCCGTCAAGTCAGGGATCGGCATGGCCGTACTGTCGACGATCTCAAG